GCGCCTTCGGGGCGACAGCGCGGCACGGGGGTGACGGTGGCGGGCCGACTGCGGCGGAGGGCGCGTAAGGCAGGCCCCCCGAGGTTCGGTGGCGACGATGGGGGTCCCAAAAGGTTTAGAAAAAGGGCGGGAGGAGGAGGAGAAGGAGGAGGAGGCGGAGGAGGAGGAGGAAGAAGAGGAGGAGGAGGGCGAACAATAATAGTAATAATAGTAACAACACGCTTCATACTATAAGTAATAGAACTAATACGAATAATACGAAGAGAAGTGCTGATGTTAGTACTAATTATACCACTGCCAATGCAAATGTTAATGCGACGAAGGATACTGATACGAAGACGAATGCTAACATTTTTCTAATACGGAGAAAAATATAACACGACGACGTTGATTACTACCGTCGCTAATACTACTAACGCTAATCATAATAAAAGCAGCGCGAACACGGAGCATAAACTTACGCATCATACTAATGATTACACTAGGACTATGATTCATACTACCAGTAATCATCTTAGTACTGATATAATCACTACTACTACTAGTAGTAGAACTAAACACTACAACTCATACTAACACTATGGGTGATACGAGTAATACCAATACCCACATTAATATTACTACGGACCGTGATAATAATAGCCATACGAATAACAAGCATACTGCACATACTGCTGCTAATAAGCGTAACAATTAGACTAATTATACGAGTGCTAATCGTATCAATAATATTAATGGTACTAATATCAATAACAAAAGCACAGGCAATACTGTGAATCATGAGAATAATACGAGGAGGATGATGAGGAGGAAAGGGTGGAGGAGGAGGAGGCTCAGGAGAAGAGGGAAGCGGAGGAGGAGGAGGAGAAGGAGGAGGAGGAGGAGGGAGAGGAGGCGGAGAAGGAGGAGGAGAAAAGGAAGGAGTATGAGGAGGACCAGGAGGAGGAGGAGGAGGAGGAGGAGGAGGAGAAGGAGGAAGAGGAGGAGATGGAGGAGATGGAGGAGTAAGTTTCTTTCTGCTGGGTATGCCGTACGTATCGATGCCGCTTCACTTCCCCATCGATGCACGCGCGTAGGGCAGGCTCCCGCCACTGTAGCGGTCGAAGTCGGTTTGCCGAGGGCAGCTCCGCGAGGGGGTCTTGACCCTCGCGGGCCGTTCTGACAGGACCTGTCCTTCGCTTCCTCCTTGCGGCAGGTTCGCGCCGCGCCGACGCAACGGCTATCCCAGCGCCGCGGGCGTTCCAGGTTGAACGCCGCCGGTGGCCAAGAAGCGGCCAGCGTCGAAAGGTCTTCGCTGTCGGGGAGCCGTGATCGTTCATGGTTGACTGATCCACGTGGTGCCAGAAACGAGCGTCCACGCCGACGCGACGGGAACAAGCTGTGGCAGGCGAAGAACCCCGACCTCCAGGCGGTGCAAACAAACAGAAGGACGGGCTTGTTCCACGATTTCAGCAGCCAGGGGCCGTTGCCCGAGCCCTTGGGCCATCAAACAAAGATTCGCGGAGAGGAAGCCGGCCTCAGGGATGGGGACGAGAGCTCCCGGGGCTCACGTCGTGAACAAAGAACACGACGTCCGAGGTCTGAGGAGGAGGATCGGCCGAGCAACGGGGGTTGGAGGAGTGCGAGGAAGAGGGTGCTACGCCAGTTTCGTCCCTCAGGGGCAACGACAGGGGGGCGGATAGGCTCAGGGGGGATGCATCGACCCCCAATCGTCCATCCATCGCCGATGGGGGCCCGATAGCCCACCCCCATTCAGGAGCGTGCGGGTTCACCATCGGGAGCCTATCATCGATCTATCGGCGATGTATCGCCGATTCCAGGTCGATGCTTTTGCCCCTATGCCAGTCCCCCCTTATCGTTGCCCCTCAGAGGAAGCGGGCACTGCGCCAGCTTCGTCCCGACGCGGGTCAGCGGCCGGAAGCGGATGTGGGGTCATCGGGCATTGTGCCGCCATTTTGGCCATGTGGGTCAAGAGTTGATGCGTGCGACCAGACGCAATGAATTCAAGTATACCTCATTGACCTCTTTCGGGTGATACGGAGGTTTGGGGGTTGGGGGGGATGGGTGTAGCTGCCGGCTTGTGATACGCATCCGATCGAACTCGCAATCTATCTATCTTTCGATTTCGCTATCTACCGATCTCGCTACCTACCGTCGATCTCACTATCTACACATCGACCTCACTGTCTTACCACCTGATCTCAAGACCTACCTATCGACCTCACTAGGCATCTACTGAGCTACTGATCTCACGTTTTAGCGGTACCACTACATCCCCGTTGCGTTTTTTTCATCTTGGCTGACATTGGCATGTCTGGGCGTTGTGGTGAGAAGTAGCATGGGAGTGATGTTTTTTACTTGTGATTCCTCCATGCGGGGAGATATTCAGATTTGCGTGGAAGTGGCCGGGAATGACTTAACCTTAAGGGGTAGAGATTTTATCCCGAATAGGTTATATAGTAGTAGTTGTGCACCACGGAGAGGCCCGGAAAGCTCTCCCGCCCAACCAGGCCGAAGGTTGCCGTGCTAGGAGTCTACGGGGGGCCAGGGGGGTCCTGCTCGGAGACGCCCTAGTCGTCAGTGCTAACGATGGATAACTTTCGCAACGGGTAAGTACCCACCACCATCTTGCTGCCCGTCTTGCTCTCTAGCCTTGCTTGCACTGCCTGCTGCACTGTCTGCTTCTCCTCTTGACTTGAATGTGTTACCTGCAGCTACATCTTTGGCTTTAGGGAATCGGAAAAGGAGCGAGCCTGTGGCGCGCGCGCGTGCGTCGGCCGGCGGGCCGGCCTCCTCTCTTCAGTGCTACCTTATTGCATGCTTGACGGCATGATCATTGTTTCCCCATGTCATCGGCGAAGCTCATTGACCATGAGACATCAACAGAACATCTTGCAGGGATTATGAATATCTAGGCAAAAGACTGGTTATCAGCCGGAACGGCGGCACAGCCGTTAGCTTCGCAGAGCATGGGGCCACAGGAAGGATCGCTCGGAAGAGAAGAAAACCGTTATCGTTCCGAGCAGATTCATGATGCAGGCGCCTTTGTGGGGCGACCTAGTTCTCTCCGCCTCCCAGAAGAGGCAGGCGTCGAAAGCTGCGTGCGATCTAACAGAAGGAGATTCTCCAGTCGATTCGATGACAGTAGTAAGGGAACAAACCCCGGGTGGGATGTATGGCGCAGCTAAAACTCCCACCATGGGGCCATCTGAACTTGTGCCGGCACGCCCGAGTTCCCAACCGTCGATCGACTTAGTCCATGAAGTGGAGAAATTGCTGGAACGGGTGCCCCGAGAAACGTTAAATCAAGGTAACTGTAGCGCTGGAGAGGCAGCGCAATTTGAGATTCATGGTCAGGGTGAGGAAGAGAGCGATCTACCATTTGAAAAAGACAGCTCGCATTCGATTGAGAGGAACGAAGAGTATGCTCAGTTTCGTACCTCGCCTGGCCCATCTCATCACCATAACCCCATCACTCATGGATTCGACGGGCTCGCCACAGGTGAAGACCCGTCTGATGACGAGACAGTTGACTACGTCGATGCAATCCAACAGGCTGTTCTCGATTCGGATGATGATGTTGGAGATGGAGGAAGCCCAGGTCAAGGCAAGAGTTCGTCGGCACAGCCGATGTTGAACTCGCCCGAAGGCTTGGGCACGGTCAGGCATAGAAGAGCCCGCAGAAACGACTTCACTTCCACAGGTAAAGAAGTCTTAGAATGAGGATGACGACCTGGATCCTCCCCCTCTGCCAGAAGGCTTCCACCGACCCGACATCGCATTGACGAGGTCAAGCAGGGGCAGGGTGTCAGAACTTGATGAGCTGGCAATGCAGGACGCAATTGACGAGTTGGCCCAAAAGCACAACGTCGATCTCATCGACAAGGGTGTAAGAACGAGGGAACAGCGCACTCCTGCCTCCAGCAGGGGACGCGCGAAGTCCCCCAGGGCCGGACACTCCAGTTCCAGAGGATTCAACGCCCTCGAGTCACCTCGGTTGTCACCAAATAGGACCACCAGTAGCTTCTCGATAAAGGATGGCTGCTGGAACGCTGGACCCAGGTGCCCGCCGCGGGCGGATGACCGATGCCCGGGGAAAGCGCGCAGAACGGGGGGGCCGTGTCTTAGGCCGGCATGCTCAGACTGTTCGAACGTATGTTCCAAGTGCAGCGTTGCGTGGCTCTGCGGAGATTGCATTGAGTTGGAGGAACACAGTTGCCGTTGCATAGCCATTCAGGAGTGGGGGGAGAAAAATAGGCAGGACCGAGAGCAATTGAGAGCTGCGGGTGCGCAGATGCAGCAAATTATGCTCGAGGCGCACGTTGAGGGGGGAGCCGCTGGCGAAGTCGAACGGATGCCGGCGGGATCCGAAGCAGAGAGACAGGCAATGGCACAAAAGGTCGAACAAGAGAGAATTGTCATGGCGGAAGATGCGCAGAGACGGATAGAACAAGCAGAAGCCAGCATTGCAGGAATCACAGATGCGGCGAAGCGACGTCTTGCGCAAGAGGAGAACGAGAAAAATATACTTTCAACATATGGCAGAGCAAATGGTGCCAGCTTCTTGTCAGCAGGCCGAGAAAGAGAGAGTCGAATGCAGAGAGATGGCTGGCGCTGCCAGAAGGGGGGGGGGGGGGGGCGGCTCGAGGGCAAGCGGCGCGCGAAAATCAGGAGCTCCGCAATCAACTTGAAGCTGCTAGACTCGAGGCGGACAAAGTAAAATCGGAAGCGCTGCGAGCCCTTCGAGAACATGGGCAGGAGGCTCAGGCAAATCAGGAATGAGGACCAAAAGAGAATGGCCGTTGCCTGGGGCCAGTTGACGGGACATGCGGATGAGCAAGTGGCAAATGAGATTATTGCCGCTCGCGCAGCAAGCGAAGAGAACAGGAGATTAATATCTGACTTGGAACAGCAACGCAAAGACAGGGGGTCGCGGGAATGGCTTCGGACAGCCGGGCCACATGCGACAGAAGTTCCGAGGAGAGCTGAGGCTGCGCATG